CCCGCGCAGGAACCTCACACCTCACCCCCTCTCCTCTTCTCCTGTCGCACACTCACTCATTCACTCAATCAGTCACACCATCATCATCAGTCCCACGCGCACACACACACACACTCACCCACAGTCAATTGTTACTCACTCGTCACCACACTCACTCAATCACAATTATGCATTTCATTCAAAACTACCCTTCATCACTCGTCATCACTAGCATCACAGGACCATCGCTTTGTTTCTCTGCACATCCCCCCCCCCACGCATGATCTCTCACACCGCCTCTTTCCTCACGCATCCACTCTCACATCATCATCAACATCATCATCATCAGCAGCATCATCATCGTCATGACCACCACCATCATCATCATTATCTTTTTTCACGTATTCACTCACATCATCATCATCTTCGCTATCATCATCATCCTCATCCTCGGTCACTCGTTCATTCACTTACTCACTTACACATTCACCGCACTCGATCACTCTAACACGCAATCAATCGCATACACTTCATCATTCACACCATCACCATCAGTCACACGCTCACCACGCACGATTATTCTAACACGCACTCAGCCACCCACGCACCATCATCACCACTGGCCTCATCATCATCATCATCATCATCATCATCATCATCATCATCATCATCATCATCATCATCATCATTATCATTATCATCATCATCATCATCATCATCATCATCATCATCATCAGACTCATCATCATCATCATCATCATCATCATCATCATCACAACCATCATCATCGTTCACATATCATCAGTCAATCACACACGCACACTCACTCTTTCACACACACACACAACCATCATCATCGTCATCATCATCATCAGCAGCATCATCATCATCATCCTCATTGGCTCGCTCACAGCCACACTTGAGGATGTCTCGAGCGGGAGCCTTGTTTATGAGTGAATTGCGAGGAGATCTCAGGGGGAGCCCCCTCCCCATGGGCCCCGCAGACCATGTTACCAATCCGAGCGGGTCATCGGGCACCTGTAACTGTCGTCACTTTTGGGTTCCCGAGGCCTGAAGATGGGCGGGAGCTTCGTCTGTGAGTGAATTGCGAGGAAGTCTCCAGCGGGAGCCTCCTCCCTATGGGGCCCGCAGCTCGTGTTACGAACCAGAGCGGGTCGTCGGAAACGTGTAATTGTCGCCACTGTTGGGCTTCAGGGGAGGAACAATAAGGCGTGAGCGTCGTTTGTGAGTGAATTGCGAGGAAGTCTCAGGCGAGAGCTCTCTCCTTATGGGGCCCGCAGATCATGTTACTGATCCGAGCGGGTCATCGGAGACTTGTTGTAATTGTGCCCACTTTTGCGCTTCACTTTTGAGCGTCGCAGGCCTGAATTTGGAGGAAGTCTCAGGTTGGAGCCTTGTCTGTGAGTGAATTGCGAAGATATCTCAGGCGAGAGCCCCTTCCCTATGGGGGACGTATTGCATGTTGGTAATCCGAGCGGGTCATCGGCCTCTTGCAACTGTCATCACTTTTGGGCTCCTCAGGTTTGGATTTTGAAGAAGTCTCAGGCGGGACCCCCCTGCTTATGGGGCCCGCAGCTCATGTTGGTAATCCGAGCGGGTCATCGGCCTCCTGCACTTGTCGTCGTCTTTGGGCTTCTCGGGCATGAATTTGGAGGACGCATCAGGCGAGAGCCTCGTCTGTGAGTGACTTGCGGGGAAGTCTCAGGCGGGAGCCCCCTCCATATGGGACCCGCGCTTCATGTTTGTAATCCGAGCGGGTCATCGGGCACCTGTAACTGTCGTCACTTTTGGGGTCCTGAGGCTTGAATATGGAGGGAGTATAGGGCGGGAGCCTCGTCTGTGAGCGAATTCAAGGAAGTCTCAGGCGGGAGCCCCCTCTTGAGGGGGCCCGCAGCTCATGTTGGTAATCCGAGCGGGTCATCGGCCCCCTGCAACTGTCGTCACTTTTCGGTTCCTCAGGCATGAATTTGGAGGACGCATCAGGCGGGAACCTCGTCCGTGAGTAAATTGCGAGGACGTCTCAGGCGAGAGCTCCCTCGTTATGGGGATCGCAGCTCATATGAATATTCCGAGCGGATCATCGGAGACCTGTAAGTGTAGTCCGTCATTTTTGGTCTGCTGAGGCTTGAATATGGAGGAAGTATCAGGCGGGAGCCTCGTCTGTGAGTGAATTCAAGGAAGTCTCAGGCAGGAGCCCCCTCATTATGGGTCCGCACTTCATGTTCGAATCCGAGGCCGGTCATCGGCCTCCTGTAACCGTCGTCACTTTTGGGCTCCTGAGGCATGACTTTGGAGGAAGTATAAGGCGGGAGCTTCGTCTGTGAGTGAATTGCGAGGAAGTCTTAGGCGGGAACCCCCTCCCATATGGGGCCCGCACCTCACGTGCTTTCTCTGGGTCGTGCTGCGGCGCGCGTTTCCTCTGGGTCGTCCTCCAGCGCGTAGCCGCTGGGATTCACGTCGTGCGTTTCCTCTAGGTCGTGTTCTGCCCGCGGAGGAGGAGGAGGAGGAGGAGGAGGAGGAGGAGGAGGAGGAGGAGGAGGAGGAGGCGGAGGAGGAGGAGGGAGGAGGGGGGGGAGGAGGTGGAGGAGGGGAGGGGTAGGAGGGAGAGGAGGGGAGGAGGAGGAGGAGGAGGAGGAGGAGGAGGAGGAGGAGGAGGAGGGAGGAACGCCCGAGTAGGCCCGAGGAGGTCCAGGGAGGCCCAGAAGGCTCCAGGAGGCCCCAAGAGGCTCCAAGGAGGCCCCATGAGGAGGCAGGAGGCCAAATGAGTGAGGCGGAGAAGAGGGGAGGAGGAGGAGGAGTAGGAGGAGGAGGAGGAGAGGAGGAGAGGAGGGGGGAGGAGGGGGGGAGGGGAGGAATATGGATACGCCGGAAAGGAGGCGAGGGAGAGGAGAGGAGATGAGGAGGAGGAGGAGGAGGAGGAGGAGGAGGAGGAGGAGGAGGAGGAGGAGGAGGAGAGGAGGAGGAGGGGGAGGGGGAGGAATATGGATACGCGGAAAGGAGGGAGAGGGAGGAGGAGGCGGAGGAGGAGGAGGAGGAGGAGTAGGAGGAGGAAGGAGGAGGAGGAGGAGGAGGGGAGGAGGAGGAGGAGGAGGGGATGAGGAGGAGGAGGAGGAGGAGGAGGAAGAGGAGGAGGAGGAGGAGGAGGAGGAGGAGGAGGAGGAGGAGGAGGAGGGAGGAGGAGGAGGAGGAGGAGGGAGAGGAGGAGGAGGAGGAGGAGAGGAGGATGAGGAGTGGGAGGAGGAGGGGGAGGAGGAGGGAGGGGGAGGAGGAGGAGGAGGAGGAGAAGGAGGAGGAGGAGAGAATAAGAAGAATACTCATAATACTAGTAAGAAACATATGATAATAAGAATAACAAGAAGAAGACGAGGAGTTGGAGGACGGAGAAGAAGAAGAGGAGGAGGAGGAGGAGGGAAAAGGAGATGGGCAAGTAGGAAAAGGAAGAGGTGGTGGAGGAGGCAGGAGGAGGAGGAGGCAGGAGGAGGAGGAGGAGGAGGAGGAGGAGGAGGAGGAGGAGGAGGATGCAGGGGTTGAGGCAGGAGGAGGAGAAGGCAATTGGAGGAGGAGGAGGAGGAGGAGGAGGAGGAGGAGGAGGAGGAGGCAGGAGAGGGTGGGAGACGGGCGGGGGCAGGAGGAGATCCCCAGGCAAGTTAAACCGATTCTCATGCGGGGTCCTACCGTCGGAGTAATTGTTTCTGCTGCGTCCCTCGGGGGAAATCCCGCCCACCTCGACCTGAGCACTTTGGTTGTGGTCGTGGTCGATTCGCCCCCCCTTGGACGTCACGCCGACCACGACCAGTCCTGGGCTGGTTTCGGTGATCTGACAGACGTTGGCATGCACAAGACATTCCCAAGGCTGTGTCTTCGATGTGGTCGTGGTCGCTTGCCGTCCCTGCAGGCCACGGCCGGGTCCGCCTTAAAACCCTGGCTGGCGCACCCCCGAGGAGCGGTCCAGGGATGGTCACCTGAGAGGAAGAGGAGGGGGCAGGAAGGAGAAGGACGAGGAGGAGGGGGAGGGAGGAGGAGAAGGAGGAGGAGGAGGAGCAGGAGGAGGAGGAGGAGGAGGAGGAGGAGGATCAGTGTAAACCCAAGAGGCATCAACGATGTTGGAATGAGCCCTTCCCCCAAGCTCCCTCTTCACAGGCCCCTACAACGGTTCATTTCCACAGAGGGACCTGCCTCGTTGGAAGACAACCGTTTGAAGACCTTGAAGCATGCGACAACATTGTTCTCGGTATTCCAACGCCACGGCTAAAATTGATTGTTGCGTCTTGACGATCCTGAATCGTTCCAGAACGCCATTCCTGGAACTTCAACACCGCGAATCATCGTAACTGCTGCGCCCTGGTAACCCATACTCGTGAAGCCTTCCAAACACCATTTCTGGTACGTCGATCATGGCAAACAGTGGAGCTCTTACAGTATTTTATGGCGAATATACGCGGCGCTCAGGCAAGAGCCACTTTTTGAAAAGGCGCTGCCCTCAATCCGTGAAGCTCTTGCAAATATCAAAAGAGTATGTGCGCAGCGCTAACGCGAGAGCTACATTATGACAAAAGAACTGCCCTCAATCAGCGGAAGTCTTGTAAGTTTTGAGACGAGTGTGCGCGGCGCTAAGGCGAGAGCCACATGTTGAAAACCACCCGCCCTCAATCCGTGAAGCTTTTGCACATTCTGAAAACGAATGTGAGCGGCGCAAAAGGCGAGAGCCACATTTTGAAAAGGAGCCGCCCTCAATCCGCAAAGTTCTTGCAATTGTTGGAAACGTATGCGTGCGGCGCTATGGCGAGAGACACATCTTGAAAGCCACCCGCCCTCAATCCGTGAAGCTCTTGCACATTTGAAAACGAATCTGCGCAGCGCTAAGGCGACAGCCACATGTTTTCAACCACCGGCCCTCAATCCGTGAATGTCTTACACTGTTTTCAAACAAATGCGCGCGGCGCTAAGACGTGAGCCACGTTTTGAAACTTACCCGCCCTCAACTTGTTAAGCTCTTGCAGCGGTTTGAAGACGAATATGCGCGGCGCTCACGCGAGAGCCACATGTTGAAAACCACCCGCCCTCCATGTGTGAAACTGCTGCCGCGTTTTAGAATGTCAGTGTCGTGAATGGCGAGGAAGTCTCGGGCGAACGGCCCGGCCCGCCCTAAACACTGTCCTCCGCGTGCGACGGGGAGAGGTTGTTTACAAGAAGAAAGAATGGAGGAGGAGGAGGAGGAGGAGGAGGAGGAGGAGGAGGAGGAGGAGGAGGAGGAGAGGGGACAATTAGGAGGAGGAAAAGGCGGAGGAGGAGGAGGAGGAGGAGGAGGAGGGATAGGAGAGGAACATTAGGAGGAGGAAAAAGGCGGAGGAGGTGGAGGAGGAGGAGGAGGAGGAGGAGGAGGAGGCAGTGGCGTCGGCCTCGCGTCGACTGCTGCCCCCCCCTCCCGCTCCTTCCTCGCCGAGCGGGCCCGGCGCCCGGGCCGCGCCATCCGCCGCCCCGGGAGGTGCGCGAGGACTCCGAGCAGGGCAAGTTCCGCGCCCGCTTCTGGGAGATCGCGGGGTCGAGCATGGGCAACGTGCTCGGCGTGAAGGAGAAGAAGGCGGGGGGGCCTCGAGCAGGAGGAGGGAGGAGAAGGAGGAGGAGGAGGAGGAGGAGGAGGAGGAGGACGAGGAGGAGGAGGAGGAGGAGGAGGAGGAGGAGGAGGAGGAGGGAGGAGGAGGAGGAGGAGGGGGAGGAGGAGAGGAGGAGGAGGAGGAGGAGGAGGAGGAGGAGGAGGAGGAGGAGGAGGAGGAGAGGGCCTCGAGCTCCTCGTCGATCCCAGGGGCTCGTGCCCCTCCGCGGGCCCCCAGGGGGAGGCGGGGGGGTCCACAGTCGAGGCGCCGCGGGCTTCCCGGGCACGACCTGGGGACTCCCGTGGGCGTCCCGGGGCACGGGCAGCGCGCTCGGCGTGGAGGAGAAGAAGGCGGGGGGGAGTCTCGGACTTTCCGCAGATGCATCGGCGGTTTCCAGCCTCGGGGTGCGACCCAGCGGCCGTGCCGCGCCTATAGAGCGCTTTGGAGGTGTCCGGATCGTCCCGAGAGGCTGCCGGAGACCCGAGGTTAGGACCCGAAAGCAGGACGACGGGGATCATTTCTTTGGGGGGAAGAGGAGCTCAGGAGGGAGAAGTATACACAAACGCAAGGAAGCGTTGCTTCCAATTGGGCAATCGGAATAGATGTGGCATGGAGGGGGAGAGGAGGATTCAGGACATGCAGCACGACTGGAGGTCCCAGGAGTCGTGTCGACGTGCTCGTGTCCCCCTGGGCCCCCTTGTGGAGCGGTGGAGGGAGGAGCGGGATCGGGAGGGGCAGCAGGAGGCGGAGGAGGGCGAGGCGAGGAGGAGGAGGAGGGGCAGGAGCGGCAACACGGAGAGGAGCAGCACCATGGGGGGGGAGGGGGAGGAGGAGGGAGGAGGAGGAGGAGGAGGAGGAGGAGGAGGAGGAGGAGGAGGAGGAGGAGGAGAAGTGGCAGGAGGAGGAGGAGGAGGACGACGAGAAGGAGGAGCAGGAGGAGGAGGAGGAGCAGGAGGAAGAGGAGAGGAGAGGAGGAGGAGGAGGAGGAGGAGGAGGGAGGAGGAGGGAGGAGGAGGAGGAGAGGAGGAGGAGGAGAGGAGTTGGAGGAGGAGGAGTTGGAGGGTAGAGGAGGACGAGAAGAGGAGAGAGCAGGAGGAGGAGGAGCAGGAGGAGGAGGAGGAGGAGCAGCAGGAGGAGGAGGAGGAGGAGAAGGAGGAGCAGGAGGGAGGAGGAGCAGGAGGAGGAGGAGGAGGACGACGAGAAGGAGGAGCAGGAGGAGGAGGAGCAGGAGGAAGAGGAAGAGGAGAGGAGGAGGAGGAGGAGGAGGAGGAGGAGGAGGAGGAGGAGGAGGAGGAGTTGGAGGAGGAGGAGTTGGAGGTAGAGGAGGACGAGAAGGAGGAGAGAGCAGGAGGGCGCGCTCGCCTCGCCTTGACTGTCCCTTGATGAGGTGCTGCAGCCAACTTCTGCTGCGCCTCCCGTTGCGGCGCAGACGCGCGCGCGCGCGCGCCCGCCGCACGGGTCTTCCGACCACACCGATTTGGGCGTCGCGAGGATTTGTTTTGGGGTTTGGTGTACTTGTTTGGCCAGGGGGTAGGGGGAGGGAGGAAGGCTTCTTAGAAGCACCCCTGCTTCTTAGAAGACGCGGGCCTTCTCTGTACATGAGGGGCCGGCGCCTTCCAATAAGCAGCCCTCTGCTAAGAAGCCTTCCCCCCTCCCCCTACCCCCTTCTGCGCGCCGCCAGCTTGTGTGTATACACCCCGGAAAAGGGGGGGCCGCCTCGACGATTCCAGCAGGCAAGTTCCTCGGCGGTCGATTGTGCAGTGACTCTCGATTAAAACTGGCACTCCTAAAGAAAGTGAGCACACACACGCACATGCACACGCACACGCACACGCGCACGCGCGCACGCACGCACGCGCGCGCGCACGCACGCACGCACGCACGCACGCACGCACGCACGCACGCACGCACGCACGCACGCACGCACGCATACACACACAAACACACGCACACGCACACGCACACGCACACGCACACGCACACGCACACACATTCAATCACACGCACACGCACACGCACACGCACACGCACGCGCACACTTACACACACATACACACGCACACACACGCTCGCACACAGACACAGACACAGACACAGACACAGACACAGACACACACACACACAAACACACACACATACACACACACGCACACACGCACACGCACACGCACACGCACACGCGCACGCGCACGCGCACGCGCACGCGCACGCGCACACGCACGCGCACGCGCTTCTTATCCCTACTGTTTGAGCCGCTGGCTCAAATAGTACTTCAAACCACTCTGTTTCACGATCGGCTTCGACGTATGTTGAGCGCCTGGCGAGGATCTCGGCCAGGCGCGCAACCCTCCGAGGCGGCCGGAAGGACGCGTGGGAGGGCACAGGAGTGGAGCGCAGCGCTGCAATCGCTCTTCGAAGAATCACGACACTCTGTGAACATTAGCCCAGGCCGCTACGTTGCGACTGCCCGCGCATGTGCAAAAGGCCAGCAGTGGCAGCGGGCCTTGTCGCTTCTCTTTGAGCTGGCTGAAACAACAGTTGAGGCCAGCATCATCAGTTACAGCGTTGGGATCAGCGCGTGCGAAAGAGGCAAGCAGTGGCAGCGTGCCCTGTCGCTGCTCAGCGAGATGCGGGAGGCGAAAATGGAGCCCGATGTCATGCACATAGACGTGTGTGCATATATATATATATATATATATATATATATTCCTCTTTCTATATTTTTACAAGCCCGGGCGGGGGAAAACCCGTCCCCCCCCCAAAAACCGGACTCCCGGGATCTGGGGTTTAGGGACCCTCGGATCCGGACGGGCCTCGAAGCGGCCCCCCGGGCCTCGCAGGACGTGGCGCGCTCCCGAAGCGACCCCAGAGAGCCCCAATACGGTCGACGACGACTCCCAAGAAGCCGTCATACCCCCAAAGATCTTCCCGAAACGTCCCAAGAGGCCTCCAAGAGCACTCCCAAGAAGGCCCCAAGAGGCAAACATCATTGATTTTGATGGTTTTTGGTTATTTTGGGGTTCTCCTCTTTTCGGCTTCCCGACGCTCCAAGACGGCGGTCTTCTGGGCGTCCGAAGCCGCCTGGGAGGCTCCCAAATCGCCCCATAACGATCCGAAGGGCTTCCAGGCAATCCAAGAGAGCCCCAAAACGGCACAACAGGGGTCCAAGATGGCCCTCAGAGAGCCCCATGGCAGCCCAAGATGGCCCCAAGACGCCCTCCGAAGCATTCCAAGTCGTGACCCGGTCGTTCAGGGAGACCGCGGTTGGAGGCAGGGTGGCCCGAGGAAGCCCCCAGAGGCTCCCAGAACACGCCCAGGAGGCCTCCAGGAGGCCTTAATAAAGCTTGAAACAACTTTTGTGAGGCCCCCAGAGGCTCTCCAAGGAGGAGCCTCCGCAAAGAGAGCTGAGGAGGATAGGGAGAATGCGCAGGGCATGGCGAGCATGAGGAAAAAGAAGCATGGAGGAAGGATAACGAATAACATTATTCTAGCGGCGACGCCAGAAAAGGAGTGATCGCTAAATTGTCGGCTTGACCTTCCTGCCAGTCCACCTGCATACCAAACTTCAAGGACCAAGGTGCATGGCGCGAAGCGCCACTGCAGTCTTGTATATATTTTTATATATATGTACACACGCGTATACGCATACAATCAGCACGTGCGTGCCCAGGCTCTGACAGAAAGCAAGGGGGGGCCACCGATGGGGTTGTCACAGCTTTCGATCCGATTAAATGTTGAGCAGCACACCGGTGGGCATCAACAACATAGATTGGAGCAAAGTAGGAGAACGACATGGTGAACTTAGGAAAAACCTGTGCCTTTCTGGCAGTTCTGTGCACAGTCATTGGGTTCCGTCCATTGCGTGTTTGACCCTGACGTCGCAATTTGCGTGAGGGTTGAGTTTGCTTTTCAGATGTATGAGGAGGCCCGAGCGAAACGGCCAGAAAAAGCAGCCACAGGACCACCAGCAATCGCCTCAGAGCTCTCTCGGAGAGGTGCATATGATGATATGCATGTGTGTACGTACGCATGTAAGCATATATTTCTATCTATAGATGTACGTATATGTCTACCGAGGGCCCTGGACGGCCCCAGAGTTCCCCCCAAACGTCCCCAGACGTCGTTGTGGAGCCTCGGACGGGGAGAAGGGCGGGGGGAGGTGACACGAGGCAGCCGAATTGGAGTACAAACCAGGTCCCCGAAAAGGAGCAATGGCCCTGGACTCGGGCAGGGAGCAGAGACGCACCACTTCGACACCAGGAGTGCCCGTGCAGGCTACAGTGCCCACCATTCTGACAATGTCATGCGGGGGTAAATATCGTAAGCGCACAGTTGTACCGCAAGCACTTACTCTGGATGGGGCCATACACGCCTCCCCTTGGGATCCGCTGGGGGGGTTGGGCACGTGCTGTCGGAACGGGCGGAGGGAGTGTTGGAGGAGGGGGGAGGGAAGGAGGAGGGGGGGAGGGGGGGGGCTGGGCAAGCTCCGTCGGAAGGTTCGTCGCCCCACCCCTCGACTAATACTCCACCCAGAGCAAACGGTTACGCCGAGAGGAGGGGGAGGAGGAGGAGGAGGAGGAGGAGGAGGAGGAGGACGGAGGAGGAGGAGGAGGAGGAGGAGGGGAGGGGAGGAGGAGGGAGGAGGAGGAGGGAGGAGCAGGAGGAGCAGGAGGAGCAGGAGGAGGAGGAGGAGGAGGAGGACGAGCGGGAGGAGGAGGAGGAGGAGGAACAGGAGGAGGAGCAGGAGGAGGAGGAGGAGGAGGAGGAGGAGGAATATGAAAACGAAGAGGAGCAGGAGGAGGATGAGGAGGAGGACGAGTACGAGGAGAAGGAGGAGGAGGAGGAGGAGGAGGAGGAGGAGGAGCCGCTTCTGTTGCTACTGCCCAGGCCCCGGCATCTGCTGCCACGGATAGTGCGACAGCCGCTCTGGACGCCGTCAGAAACATCAAGCGAACAGGGCACCCCGAAGCAATGAGCAGCAGCAAGCGCACTCTGACCACTGGCATTCGCGGACGCTCGTCCAAGAGTCAGCCTTCGTCGTTTACAACGCTGGCATCAGCGCGTGCGAGAAGGGCGAGCAGTGGCAGCGGGCCCTGGCGCTGCTCATGGAGATGCGGGAAGGGAAGCTGGCACCCACCGTTATCTACCCTGCACATCCTCGCGTTGTGCATGCCATCATGATCCATTTGCTTCCCTTGGGCCGCGGTTCCTCTGTGGCTCCGCTCGAGGGGCGATGCCGCCCTGGCACAAGAGGGAGCATTCTTGGAGGCCTCTGGGAGTCTCTTGGGGGCGTGCGGGGTGTGTGGAGGGGACTGGTCTGGGGGAACCGTTCCATATTCAAGTTCAGGGTCCCTGTCTTGTTCCCTCTTTTAGGGCCTCTTGGGCAGCTTTTTGGGCCTGCCTTCTTGGGCTGTCTTACGCAGTAGCATGCGCGGATTGCGAAGTTCGAGCCCCACGTTTTCATGTCACCCTTTCGGCATAATATGCACGATCACATGCCAGTTCGCGCAGCATTCGTGAACGTGGTCCACAAGTCAACCATAGTCTGCACACGCCCCCGAGAGGGCTCCCAGATGGCCCAAGACGGCCCAAAAAGGCCCCCAAGATAACCGAAGACGGTCCATAGGAGGATCTCGAACTGACATTGCGCGCCCTCCGCCCCAAGATGACCCCCGAAACCGCCAGCAGGCATCCGCGAGGCAACGAAAAGCCCCAGGAGGCTCCCTAGAGGCCCTAGCCAGGCCCCAATGGGCCCCCGAAGTGCCCCAAGACATCCCCAACACCATCTCCAAGAGCCCAGGGAAGATCTCTTAGGGAGCCCTGGGACCGCGCCAGCCGCCCATGAAAACAAGGCACCCGTGCGCTTCTTCTTGTCCTCCCTTCTTTGGAGCGGCTCCGGTCGGAATGGGAGACCCCTTGGGGAGTTCTCCTTAAGTGTTCTCGAGGCCCGCGGGCCACCATGGGCAGGTGCCGCAGTGCCCTCTGCCTTCTCCCGAGCCTCCGCAGCCCGCGCGCCTCCTCCGACCCACGGCCACAGCCACGGTAGACCTTCACTGTAAGAGCAGGCGCGCACAGGTTTCGTAAGTTCGTCCTTGGCCCAAGTGCAAGCCCGAGGCAGGTCAAGATCTTCCCGTGGCGGCCCAACACGCCCCTCCCCACAGCGCCCGTACCCCCCGAAGGCCCAGCCGGGCTGCAAGGTAACCCAAGAAGGAGCGAGGAGCGAGGAGCGATGAGCGAGGAGCGAGGAGCGAGGAGGAGGAGGAGGAGGAGGAGGAGGAGGAGGCATGAGGAGGCATGCAGGGAAGGCATGAGAAGGCCCAGATTCAGTCCAGGGGCCCAGGCGAGTCCCACCTACAGCTTCCGGCGGCGAGCAGCAACCAAGCCAGCGAGCAAGCGGGTCAGCAGCAAGCACAGAACAAGCTGCCACAAGCAGGCAGCCTGCTCGCAGGAAGCACTCGCCTCAAGCCTAAAGGAACGAGCAGCAGCAGGCACGAGCTGGACACGCTGGATGACGAGGACGGAGTCTACGGATCAGCCCTCCTCTTCTTGCGCACATGGCAGGCAGAAGTGCGTGTGAAGAGGGCCTGGGGGTCGAAGGCCTCGAGCATCGAGGGGTGGCTCCGGAGCCCCCCGGGCGAGGCGCAGACGAGAGATCTAACACGAAGGCGCTGTCTGAAAACTCTGGTCCGCGACCTTCACGCTCCTCCTCCTGCGAGATGAAGACGCCTCCGAGACGGCTGGCGAGCGCTCCAAGGTGCCAACGGTCGCCTCAAGGCCGCCCAAGAGAGGCCTCCAACCTCCTCCTCCAACTTCCTCCTCCTCCTCCTCCTCCTCCTCCTCCTCCCCTCGCCTCGCCGCCAACGCCGCCGCCGCCGCAAGTAGCAGCGCCTTTTGTTTCCTGAGGGCTTCTGAGCAAGGCCCCCAAGAAGCCCCCGGAACGGCCCAGGAGTACCGAGAGCACCGCCCGAGGAGGCCAAAAGCATTGATCTTGCTTCGGTTGCTCAAGGTTTTTCGGGCTCTCGTCATGTCGCGCACATGCAGCCCAAGACAGCTCCCCGATCCCCCCGCTGGAGGCGCCCAAAGACTGTCCACAAGAGGCCCCGCTCAGAGCCCCGACGCGGCCCGAGCGTGCTCCACGACAGCTCCAGGAGCGAGGGCAAGACCGCTCGCGAAGCGGCCTCTGGGCCTTCGGGGGACGAGCACGACACAGTCAACCCGCATAGGGAGGATGGGCAGCCTTCCCAAGGGGTTCCTTGTATCCTTGCCTCCCCGGTCCATCCTTGGCCACTCAGGTTGGCCGCGCCCCGCTCGAACAGCGTCGATATGGCCTCCCAAGGCCCTTGCATCCCCAGACATGCGACGTCTTGATTTTTTTCGGTGCGGGGCCCCTGAAGCCCCGACCCTTTCCCCGGGACCGCTTTTCCCCACCCGACAGGTCGGGGCTGTTAGATTTCAAGAGCAGACCCCCCGGCATACCGCGGCCGCCAGACCCCAAGTTGTCCCGAGAATCCCCCAGTATCCTCGAGAGTCCCTGGAAATCCCGCCCCTCGCCCTCGACAAACACGACTGCATACAGCGGCCGCCAGACCCCAAGTTTTCCCGAGAGTCCCCGAGTGTCCTTGGGAGTCCCGCCTCGCGCCCTCGACAAACACGAAACAGCACAACAGCACACAACATAACATGACAGAACATAATATAGCAATCTCATGACAACATAGAGCATACTAAAACATCACAATACATTCCCAGGCAGAACATTGCAGAACAGAAAAAAATATAGCACACCAAAACATAACATAACTGAGCAGATCCTAACACAAGTTGACGGAACATGGCATATCATGACACAGCGTTTATAATAGATCATAACACTACAACAGAGCATAGCGACGAGCACGACAGAACACAACGTGCCACAATATAAGACAAACACATTTAGTACAACCGTGACATAACATGACGAAACATAACGTGGCATTGCCACCACAACACAGATCATGATTCAACATCATAGAACATCGCAGATCATATCACGCCATAACAGACCAACATAGTAGACATAACACGACATAACATAACAGAGCATGCCATAACATGACAAAATAATGCATAACATGAAAGAACAGAGCACACCATAATATCACATAACAAACCAGAGCCGACCGTCACATAACAGAGGGCCACATAACATCACGGAGCAAACCAAACCATAGCATTAGAGATGATCGCATAGCATCGCAGAACATCCCCGATCACATCATGACAGAGCAGCACAACATTGTACACATAACACGACAACACATAACAAATCATGACATAATATGACAAAGCGATGCATAGCATGAAATAACAGAGCACACCATAACATCATACAACAAACCAACACATAACGTCACATAACAGAGAACCGCATACCATCACGGAACAAACCAGACCAGAGTACACGAGAACATCACAGAACAAACCAAAACCAGGCCAGACCCCCAGCTGTCCCGAGAATCCCGTAGTCCCTGCCGCCGCCCCGCCGCGGGCGAGCTTTTTGCCTGCGTCCCTGAGTCTAAGGATTGGGGGGGGGGGAAGGAGGAGGGGAAGGAGGCATGGGGTAGGAGGAGGAGGACAGGGGCCCAAGGTTTCGGTGGGGATCGTTCGGAGAATTTTTTCTTTGCCCGAGTCGTTGTTTGACGGTTCCGAGGCCCGGCGAGGGCCCCCCGAGGCCGAAATGGGCCAAAAACAGATCGTCCTGATTGTTTTGTATACGACGCGGCCATGTCTGGATCCTGGTCGCGCGTCCTTGTTCGGAAGCTGGAACGTATACATTACCGGTGGCGGGCTGTTTTTCCCCCCCCCGAACTTTTTGAGGGTCGGGGACGACGTCGGGGTGGTGCGGTGTATATTTTTTCCCCATTTCCCGTTGGGAGGCATCAACAAGAAGTATACACCAGGATCCGTACACACCAGGATCCGCTCTCCTGTGCGCATGTCAGTGCGGGGCCGGAAAAAGCGTCTGTGTATAGAGTTCGGCTCCTTCCTTGTGACACGGGCCGATGGCATCTCACGCCGGGGCGGCCGATGGCATTTTTTTACGTTGTTCTGAGTCGTTGCTTGAGAGTTCCGAGGCCGGGCGAGGGCCCCCCGAGGCCGAAATGGACCCAAAGCGTATCGCCCTGATTTTCTTGTATACGACGCGGTCACGTTGGGGTCCTGGTCGCGCGTCCTTATGATGCCACCTCTTCCTCCTCCCCCTCCCCCTCCTCCTCCTCCTCCTCCTCCTCCACCTCCTCCTCCTTCTCCTCCTCCTCCTCCTCCTCCTCCTCCTCCTCCTGTACGTCCTCCTCCTCCTCCTCCTCCTCCTGTACGTCCTCCTCCTCCTCCTCCTCCTGTACGTCCTCCTCCTGTCCTCCTCCTCATCCTCATCCTGTACGTCCTCCTCCTCCTCCTCCTCCTCCTCCTCCTCCTCCTCCTCCTCCTCCTCCTGGTCGCCGATTGCATCTCACGCCGGGGCGGCGCCTCGGGAGCTGCCCGCGGCCCCATATGCCCGGGCGCCGCCAGCCTCCGCCGGCGGACTCTCGCTGAGAGAGATCGCGCGCGCGCGGCCCCGGGGATCGGGCGGTGAGGCCTCTGCCCTCCTCCGCCCTCCTCCTCCTCCTCCTCCTCCTCCTCCTCCCTCCTCCTCCTCCTCCCCCCTCCCCCCCTCCTCCTCCCTCCTCCTCCTCCTCCTCCTCCTCCTCCTCCTCCTCTTCCTCCTCTCGACAGCGGCGCGCGCGCCAACTTGGAGCTTCTTGAACGTGGCGCCCGTGACCACCGGGCGTTCCCGGTGCTCCGCGAGACGCGGGAAGCGAGCATGAGGGCGCTTGGCGGCACCCTCTATTTCCCCCCGCAAGGGGACGGAGTCCACGGGTCAGCCATATTCTAACCTTCAATGCAGGGGCCCGCGCGTGCGGAAAAGGCGGGCCACGGGGAAAGCGTAGTCGGCGGCCCCTGCGAGCCCCAGAGAGCCTCCAGACGGCTCCAAGACGGCTCCGAGACGCTCAAAAGGCCGCCCCGACGGCCCACAGACGGCTCCGAGCCGCTCAAGCAGCCGCCTCGACGGCCCCAGAAGCCACCAGGGCAGGCCAGGAGGCTCCCGAGACGGCCCTAGAGGACCGCCCAGGAGAGCCCCAAGAGGCACAAATCGTTTCATTCCCATGGAAAACGTATGTTTTAGGCATTCTCGTGCTTTTTGCTGCCGACGCGTCCACGACGGCCATAATGGCCCCAAGATCGCCCTAAGATGCCCCCGTGAGGGCCCCAAGACGGCCCAAGACGACCCCAGGACGGCTCCTGAGGCGCTCCTGGCGGCCCAAGGGGTACCCAAGACAGCCTCAAGAGCGGCCCAGGATGGCCCAAGACGACCCCCAGACGGTGCTTAGACTGCTCGAGAGACGCCCAAGGCAGACCCAAGCAACCCCAAGACGACCCCGACAACGCCTCAGACGGCCTCCAGACGGCCCAAGAGGCTTCCAAAACGCGCCACGTGGGCTCTTCGACGAGCCCCAAGAGAGCCTGAACACCGGAAACTCATCCCATTCCCTCGGTTTGGGACCCTCTTGGGGCCCCTTGGAGCGCTCTTGCGGCCCTCTTGAGGCCTTCGGGCCCCTCCAAGACAGGGCCGGGCGCATTCTGCCACAGAAAAGCCTCTCGTGGCAGAATGGTGGGCCCGCGCCCGGCGGCGTCCTGGGGCCCTCTTGGGGTCTTCTTGGGCCCAAGACAGCCCCAAAGACGGCCCCAGGCGGCGGCCCGAAGACGGCCCACTAGGCGCCCAAGACGGCCCACGACGTCTGCAACACGGCCCCGAAGGCACGCAAGACAGCCCCCAAGAGCCGCCAAGACGGTCCAAGACGGCTCCCAGCCGGCCCAAGAGGCGCTCAAAACGGCCCAGGACGGTTCCGAGACGGCCCAAACGGCACCGACGAGAGCCCACGAGGGCCCCCAGAGGCCCCCTCGAAGCCCCGAACAAGCTCCAAGAGGCCCCCCCACGGCCCCTAGGAGATCCTAAGTGGCTAACCGTGGGATCATCGCGCAGGGGCGCCGCGCGCCCGAACTACCTCCCCGCAAGCGTTCTGTGTCTCGCCGCCGCCGCCGCCGCCGTCATCGTCCCCGTCGGGCGGCGCCAGCAGGCGCCACGGAGCGTGCCGGTGCAGCACGGGGCGCTGCTGTGGAAGGGGCGGATAGCCTTTCGGTACCATTCCCGCCGCTGCCCCCTAGAATACTCTTGGCCAGATGTCGTGGACGGAGTCCACGGGTCAGCCTTAGTTTTTATTATCATTCTTCTTCTTCTTCTTCTTCTTCTTCTTATTATTATGATTATGATTATTATTATTATTGTTATTGTTATCATTATTATTATTATTATTGTTCTTATTATTGTTATTATTATTCTTATTATTCTTATTATTATTATTTTTATTATTATTATTATTATTATTATTATTATTATTATTATTATTATTATTATTCTTATTATTCTTATTATTATTATTAGTAGTAGTATTATTCGTATTATTATTATTTATTGTTATCTCTACTACATTGCAGGGCCCAGTGCGTGCCAGAAGGGCGCAGGCTCCAATGTCTCAAAACCGCCCCAGGCTGGCCCCGGGCCGCCCCGGGCCGCCCAGGCAGGCTCCAGGACATGTCGGGAGGGCCCCCAGAAGCCCCCAAGACGGCCCCGGAGAGCCCCAGCACGCTTAAAGATGGGCCCAAGACGCCCGAGATTCGCCCCAGGCGACCCAAGAGGCGTCCAAGACGCCCGAAGAGGCCTCCCAAGAGGCCTCCCAAGAGGGCCCCGAGCGACAGAAATCGTCGATTTCTATTGTGTTTTTCGATGTTTTCGGCCTCCTCGCCTCTTCGGCTTCCCGACGCTCCAAGACGGCCCAAGAAGTCCCCCCGACCGCTCCAAGACGGCCGAAGAGGACCCCAAGAGAGCCCCAAGACGGGCCAGGAGGGCCCCCAGACGGTCCCAAGACGCCCCAGGACGGCCCCAGGACGGCCCAGGAGGCGCCCAAGACGGCCCAAGAGGCACCCAAGACGGCCCCAGGAGCGGCCCAAGACGGCCCACGACAGCCCAAGAGGCGCCGAGGCGGGTCTCAGACGGCCCCAAGACGGCCCAAGAGGCACCCAAGACGGCCCGAGAGGGCCCTAAGAGCCCCCCTGGGAGGCCCAAAAGAATGCCGAAGAGGCTCCGAAACGGCCCCCACGAAGCCTTCAGTGCCTTCAGAATTCCCTCCAGGAGCGGGGGAGCGGACGAGAGGCGACAGGCATATCGCAGGCAAAAACGCCCCAAGAGATCACCAAACGGCCCCCACGAAGCCCTAAGTGGCCTCAGAATTGCTTCCAGGAGGGGGGGAGCGGACGAGAGGCGACCGGCATATCGAAGGCACAAAAGAACAATGTTGGACGCTCCGAGGGCCTTCGATGTTTCTCCGTTGGGGAGAGTCGTCGTAGGATCGACGATTGCCGACCGAGGGCAGCGAATCCAGTGGAGGCCCAAGAGGCCCCCAGGAGCCCAAAAGAGATCCCCAAGAGGTGCCACGGGGCTTAAAAACTGCTTCGAAGCGAGGGGGGCGGACGAGGGGACCGCCTCAGGAGGTTTTGGACGGTTTTGGGCCTCAAAATCGTCCGCTTTACGACGGTTTTGGAAGGATTTTGGCCTTCTCGCCTTTTCCGCTTTCCGACGCTCGAAGACGGCCCAAGAGGCCTCCAAGAGCGCCCCAGAACGGCCCAAGAGGTTTCCAAGAGCGCCCCAAGACAGCCCAAGAGGGCCCCAAGACGACCCAAGAGACGCTCAAGACGGCCCACGAGGGCCCGAAGACAGGCCCAAGAGGGGGCCAAGAGGGGGACCACGGACCGAAAATCCGAGCCTTCCGCCCCAAGAGGGCGCCAGGAGGCCCAAACAGGCCCCCAAGAGGCCCCAAGGGGCCGCCAAGAATCCCCCGAAGAGGCCCCAGGAGGCTCCCAAGGAGCCCAAACGAGGCCCCTACAGAGGCCCCAACAGCTTCCAAAATGGCCCCGAAGAGGCCTCGAGCCCGCCTCCGAGCTTCCTCGCCGCGAGGGTGCCAACACGGCCCCAGACCGGCCCAGGACGGCCCAAGGCGCGCTCAAGACGGCCCAAGACGATTCCAAGACGGTCCCAGGAGGGTGCGCCCAGGACGGCCCAAGGACGCGCCCGTTCGGGGCCTCAAGACGGGCCAAGATGGCAAGAGAGTCCCAGCTGGCAAAAATCGTTAATTTTCCATTGTTTACTGTTACACCCTTTGCGTTTCCCGCCGTTTCGGCGGTCCGATGCACCAAGAGGCCCCAGAAAGTCCCAGGAGGGTCCGAGGAACCGCCCAGGAAGGCCCCAAGACGGGCCAAGACGGACCCAGCACAACCCAAGGCGCGCTGCGACGGCTCAAGACGGCTCCAAGACAGCCCCAAGAGGGTGCCAACACGGCCCCTGCTGGGCCCAGGACGGCCCAAGGAGGCGCACAGGAGGGGCCCAAGACGACTCCAAGGCGGCCTCCTCACGGTCCCAGACGGCTCCAAGACAGCCCCACGAGGACCCCGATGGGCCCAGGACGGCCTACGGACGCGCCCATGAGGGGCCCACGACGAACCAAGACGGCCCCATCAGGGCAAACGGCGCCTCAAGACGGGCCTTGACGGCTCCAAGACGGCCCTTTGAGGGAGCCAACGCGGCCCCACACCCTTCGGGCGCACACTTGGGGGGGCTGGGAGCTTGCGACAAGTCTCCCACATTCATTGTCCTGCCCCATTCTGTTCGCCTGGAGGCCTCCTCCAACCCTGTGGGCGAACAAGAGGAATCCCAACCCTGGGGCCCGTGGGCCCCGCGCCGCTTGGGCAGAAGACGAACGCCGGGTCTGACAGGCCAGCTACCGCCCCCCTTTGCCCGATATGCTGTGCCATTCTGTTCCCCCAGGGGCCTTGGCAAACTCTTCGGGCCAAGCAGACCGGACCCCTGGGACAGCAGCCAATTGATATGACCCTGGGACCTCTCCGCATTCTTCGGACGAGCATCTGGGGGGCCCAGGAGATTCGGGTCTTCCCCATTCCTTGCCCTGTCCCGTTCTGTTCGCCCGAAGGCCTCCACAGACCCTCTGGGCGAACATAATGGGACATGGCGAACAAACCCTCCCGTTGGCGGTGATGCGACTGGATCGCACCATCAAGGCGCGCCCGGAGGTGATGGCCGACCCAACAGCGGCTTCTCTTAAGAGTTCACTGGATTTCAAATTTTCTTGAAGCTCTCTTGGGCCCTCCCTGTAGATCCTTGCGAGCCTCCCCGGCGCTTTCGGTGGCTTTCCCCGATGGCCTCCCGAGCCCTTCCCCGAGCGCTCCTGAGACGCCTCAGATGGGCTTCGACTTCGACGCACATCCCCGAGAGACTTCGAAACTGTCCTCAATAGGAGGGGGGTGAACGAGCAGTGCGCTGGGCCAAGCTGCTGCAGCGCTGCAAGAGCTCGGACACGAAGGCGCGGTCTCGCTGCCTCCGCCCGAGCCGCCGCCGTGTTTGTAGATTTTCGGTACAATCTGCGCCGTTCCTCCGAGAACCATTCCAGAAAGATGTCGTGGACGGAGTCCACGGGTCAGCCCTAGTTAGCTACAACGCCGGGATCAGCGCGTGCGAGAAGGGCGAGCAGTGGCAGCGGGCCGTGGCGCTGCTGCACCAGATGCGGGAGGCGAGACTGGTGCCCGACGTCATCGCTTCTACCAGGAAGATGGATCGACTTGACGCGGCCAACCTGGGCGCGGGAGCTGGACATACATGGTGCCGGATGTGTTCCAGCTCTCGGCCCTTCCGCAGAAGGGTGCGCAGGTTCTCCTCGTGTGTAGCCAGCGCGCGGCCTCCACATGTTCCACACACGGATCCAACCACGTGTGATTCAGGCTACCTGGTCAATTTCAGGGACCCCTTGCGTGAGGGACGTGTCCCTTTTTTGTTTCCCCCAGACCTCTAGGGAGTCCAGAGCCCCAGAGGCCGCCCTAGATGCCCTCAAGAGAGTCCCACGACAGCTCAAGAGGCCCGGAGGGGCTTAGCAAAGCGCACCCGCGGTCTCAATTGGGTCGCGAGCATGCGCCAGGCCAGCTGGAAAATAGTGAACACCTTGAGGCATTCTGTGATATCATTTTTCTATGCTGTCTGGCCCCAGATCGCATCAGGAGGGCGTCGCGCGGCCTTGGAGTTCCCAAGGCTGGCCCGAGTGAGCACCGTGATGCCCCGCGACGCACAGAAGACCACAATGAGTACCCCCTTCGCGCGTGGATGCCAGCCTTTTGGCTCGGTCGGTGCTTGCTCGTCCACGCGCCGCCGCTCTCCGCCGCTTGCCACTGCGTCGCGTTGCCTGCCGTTGCGTTCTGCTCCTGGCCGCCACGGACGCGTGGATGCTGTTGCGTGCGGCTGTTCGACGCGGCGTTCGCGGGAAGGCGTGCTGCTGCTTGGTCCTGGTCGGTGCCGCGTGGCTGCTGCTGCGCTGCCCATGGCTTGCTGCTGCGGGGTCATGATCCTGGCTGCTTCTGCTGTTCGTCGCAGCCTGCTGCTGGTGACTGCTGAACAGAGTCCACTGGTCAGCCCCAGTCTATACTATATGGCAGGAGGAACCGCGTGCCGGAAGGAAAAATTGCCAAATGCCGGGAAACGGCTCCGAGACGCTCCGGAGGCCGCCCCGACGGCCCAAAGACGGCTCCGAGCCGCTCCAAGACGGCTCCGACCCGCTCACGAGGCCCCGAAGGCGGCCCAAGAGGGCCCCGAGACGCGCAATGATCCGGCCAAGACGCCCGAGATTGGCCCAAGACGGCCCAAGAGCTCCCCAAGACGGCCCAACCGGCCCCCCAAGAGGCCTCCCAAGAGAGCCCCGAGAGGCCCAAACCGTAAATGTTCATTGTTTTTTTTCCGAGGTTTTTGCTTCCTCGCTTTCTCGGCTTCCCGACGCTCCGAAACCCCTCCAGAGGCATCCAAGACCGCTCCAAGACGGTCCAAGAGGGCCCCAAGACGGTCCAAGGCGGCCCCAGGACGGCCCCAGAGGCGCCCAAGACAGGCCAACGGGACCCCAAGATGGCCCGAAGAGCGGCCCAAGATTGCTCCAAGACGGCCCGAGGACCGCTCAAGAAGGCCCTAGGGGGCCCCAAGACAGCCCAAGGGGCGCGATAGACGAGCCCAGAGAGGCCCAAGAGGCCCCCAGGAGCCCCAAAGAGGTCCCCAAACGGCCCCAGAGCTCCCCAAGACGACCCAACAGGCCTCCCAAGAGGCCTCCCAAGAGAGCCCCGAGAGGCCAAAATCGTTGTTTTTCATTTGTTTTTTCGTAAGTTTTTTGCTTCCTCGCTTTTTCGGCTTCCCGACGCTCCGACACCCCCCCGGAGGCATCCAAGACTGCTTCAAGACGGTCCACGAGGTCCCCCAGAGGACCCCCAGACGGTCCAAGAGGGCCCCAAGACAGTCCAAGGCGGCCCCAGGACGGCCCCAGAGGCGCCCAAGACAGGCCAACGGGACCCCAAGATGGCCCGAAGAGCGGCCCAAGATGGCTCCAAGACGGCCCGAGGACCGCCCAAGAAGACCCTCGGGGGCCCCACGACAGCCCAAGGGGCGCGATAGACGAGCCCAGAGAGGCCCAAGAGGCCCCCAGGAGCCCAAAAGAAGTCCCCAAACGGCCCAAGAGCTCCCCAAGACGGCCCAACAGGCCCCCCAAGAGGCCTCCCAAGAGAGCCCCGAGAGGCAAAAATCGTTGTTTTTCATTTGTTTTTTGTTTCCGAGGTTTTTTGCTTCCTCGCTTTCTCGGCTTCCCGACGCTCCGACACCCCTCCAGAGGCATCCAAGACCGCTCCAAGACGGTCCACGAGGTCCCCCAGAGGACCCCCAGACGGTCCAAGAGGGCCCCAAGACAAGACGGTCCAAGGCGGCCCCAGGACGGCCCCAGAGGCGCCCAAGACAGGCCAACGGGACCCTTAGATATGATGGCCCGAAGAGCGGCCCAAGATGGCTCCAAGACGACCCGAGGACCGCCCAAGAAGGCCCTCGGGGGCCCCACGACAGCCCAAGGGGCGCGATAGACGAGCCCAGAGAGGCCCACGAGGCCCCCAGGAGCCCCAAAGAGGTCCCCCAGAGGTGCCACAGGGGGCGGACGAGGGGACCGCCTCAGGAGGTTTTGGACGGTTTTGGGTATCAAAATCATGCGCTTCACGACGGTTTTGGAAGGATTTTAGCCTTCTCGCCTTTTCCGCTTGCCGACGCTCGAAGACGGTCCAAGAGGCCTCCAAGAGCGCCCCAGAACGGCCCAAGAGGTTTCCAAGAGCGCCCCAAGACAGCCCAAGAGGGCCCCAAGACGACCCAAGAGACGCTCAAGACGGCCCACGAGGGCCCGAAGACAGGCCCAAGAGGGGGCCAAGAGGGGGACCACGGACCGAAAATCCGAGCATTCCGCCCCAAGAGGGCGCCAGGAGGCCCAAACAGGCCCCCAAGAGGCCCCAAGGGGCCGCCAAGAATCCCCCAAAGAGGCCCCAGGAGGCTCCCAAGGAGCCCAGACGAGGCCCCAACAGAGGCCCCAACAGCTTCCAAAATGGCCCCAAAGAGGCCTCGAGCCCGCCTCCGAGCTTCCTCGCCGCGAGGGTGCCAACACGGCCCCAGACGGGCCCAGGACGGCCCAAGGCGCGCTCAAGACGGCCCAAGACGATTCCAAGACGGTCCCAGGAGGGTGCGCCCAGGACGGCCCAAGGACGCGCCCGGTCGGGGCCTCAAGACGGGCCAAGATGGCAAGAGAGCCCCAGCTGGCAAAAATCGTTAATTTTCCATTGTTTATTGTTACACCCTTTGCGTTTCCCGCCGTTTCGGCGGTCCCATGCACCAAGAGGCCCCAGAAAGTCCCAGGAGGGTCCGAGGAAACGCCCAGGAAGGCCCCAAGACGGGCCAAGACGGACCCAGCACAACCCAAGGCGCGCTGCGACGGCTCAAGACGGCTCCAAGACAGCCCCAAGAGGGTGCCAACACGGCCCCTGCTGGGCCCAGGACGGCCCAAGGAGGCGCACAGGAGGGGCCCAAGACGACTCCAAGGCGGCCCCCTCACGGTCCCAGACGGCTCCAAGACAGCCCCACGAGGACCCCGATGGGCCCAGGACGGCCTACGGACGGCCCATGAGGGGCCCACGACGAACCAAGACGGCCCCATCACGGCACACGGCGCCCTCAAGACGGGCCTGGACGGCTCCAAGACGGCCCTTTGAGGGAGCCAACGCGGCCCCACACCCTTCGGGCGCACACTTGGGGGGGCTGGGAGCTTGCGACAAGTCTCCCACATTCATTGTCCTGCCCCATTCTGTTCGCCTGGAGGCCTCCTCCAACCCTGTGGGCGAACAAGAGGAAACCCAGCGGGCCGCCAACCCTGGGGCCCGTGGGCCCCGCGCCGCTTGGGCAGAAGACGAACGCCGGGTCTGACAGGCCAGCTACCGCCCCCCTTTGCCCGATATGCTGTGCCATTCTGTTCCCCCAGGGGCCTTGGCGAACTCTTCGGGCCAAGCAGACCAGACCCCTGGGACAGCAGCCAATTGATATGACCCTGGGACCTCTCCGCATTCTTCGGACGAGCACCTGGGGGGCCCAGGAGATTCGGACAAGTCTTCCCCATTCCTTGCCCTGTTCCGTTCTGTTCGCCCGAAGGCCTCCACAGACCCTCTGGGCGAACAGAATGGGACATGGCGAACACACCCTCCCGTTGGCGGTGATGCGACTGGATCGCACCATCAAGGCGCGCCCGGAGGTGATGGCCGACCCAACAGCGGTTTCTCTACAGATTTTACAGAATTTCAAATTTTCTTGAAGCTCTCTTGTGCCCTCCCTGTAGATCCTTGCGAGCCTCCCGGGCGCTTTCGGTGGCTTTCCCCGATGGCCTCCCGAGCCCTTTCCCGAGCGCTCCTGAGACGCTTCAGATGGGCTTCGACTTCGACGCACATCCCTGAGAGACTTCGAAACTGTCCTCAATACGAGGGGGGTGAACGAGCAGTGCGCTGGGCCAAGCTGCTGCAGCGCTGCAAGAGCTCGGACACGAAGGCGCGGTCTCGCTGCCGCCGCCCGAGCCGCCGCCGTGTTTGTAGATTTTCGGTACAATCTGCGCCGTTCCTCCGATAACCATTCCAGAAAGATGTCGTGGACGGAGTCCACGGGTCAGCCCTAGTCAGCTACAACGCCGGAGTGAGCGCGTGCGAGAAGAGCAAGCAGTGGCAGCGGGCCATGTCGCTTCTCAGCGAGCTGCGGAAGGCGAAGTTGGAGCCCGACATCATCTCTTCTACATTGCTGGCTTCTGCGCGTCCCAGACCCAGACATGCGACGTCCTGATTTTTTCAGGACGGCGTCCCCGGAAGTCTGGACACTTTCCCCAGGGCCGGTTCTTCATGCATGAGTCGTTTTTCGACGGTCTCGGGGCCCGGCGAGGGCCCCCAGGGGCCGAAAATGGTGAAAAGCCGCCCGACTTTTTTTACGACGCGATCATGTCTGGGGAAGGGTCCTGCACCGAGTAGGTTCCCAGAGCCTCCAGAGGCCCGCACTAGCCCAGCAACGCCCCGGGGGCCTCCAGGGGTAGCCCTTCAGGGTCCCGGCGGCTTCGCAGAGCCCCCAAGACACCCCCAAGACGACGCCGAGGAGGCCCCAGGGAGGCACTGCGATGCCTTCGCCGGGGTCCGATAGGATTGAGATTCCTTTTCAGGTCAGGAGCGAAAGAAGGACGTACATGTACATGAATCCACGCTGGTTTCGAGAGCACCCATTGCACAAATGTTCGTATAACGCGGCCGGTCTCGCGAATCGAGGGGCCGTGTTCATGTACATAGCTGGGCGCGTACGTCCTTTGTGGGCTCCCTATCAGGCTTTCGTGAATGATCACCCCTTCCTACGTTTCCAGGCCTCCCAGACGGGGTCGGCGTAGATGGGGTCGGAGGATCGCGCCGCATCGCCGATGCACCGGCGATGCGGCTCGATGTGGAGTCCGGCTTCCTAGACGCCGATGGCGCCGATGCCTCGCCGACACGTCGCCGATGCATCGTCGATGCATCGGTCAACCCGCATAGTACGAGTGATCGACTTCCAAAGGGTAACCACCTTGCATCCTTGCCTCTTCGGTCATCTTCGGTCCATCCTCAGCCACTTTCGGTGGCCAGGCCCGCTCGAAGAGCCCCAGCGTGGGCCTGGGCAGGGCTTGCTTCGATTCTTCCGGCTCGATGTGATTCGATTTCGATGATTTCCGATTCCGATGGAATTCGACTTGGGATTCCGATCTGGGCTCCGATTTCCTATTCAAGGCCCACCAGCCTGCCGATTTCTGCCGATCCGAGTTTTTCCGACTCGGCTGCCGGTCCCCGCCGATCCGATTCATGCCGATCGCCGATCCGACGTCTCGATTCGGCGCTGGGCCCTCGTGCCCAGGCGTCCAGGGCCCTGGCATCCTTTCATGCCGTGCAGCCTTAACGTAGGATGACGATTAATACATGACCGGGGGTCGTGTTGCGTCGGCGGCGCCCCAGAGGATGATTAGACCAAACCAGCCACGGGCTGGGACATTCTTTTTTCAATCGTTCCCCCCCTGCCGCCCGTCTTGGGAAACTATTTTTGTAAAACTTACATTCGACGTGGATTGTGCATTTGACGTATCATTTGAATCCGACGTCAAATGAGCATTAGACATAATGTATGAAGCCGACGTGGAACGAGCATTTGACGTAAAAGTTTGAAGCCCACGTAGTTCTGGTATTTGACGTAAAATTGGCAGTCGACGTCGAATGATCATTTAACGTAAAATTAGACGACGACGTGAAATGAGTACTGGACGCAAGATTCGAAGCCGACGTGATTATAGGCATCTTTTAAAGTCTGTTTGTTACCGTTCCCCCAAATTTTTCTTTTGTCGTCATCCCGCATTACTGTACGGTTTGACTGCACCCAGACCCCCGACGTCGTGATTTGTTTCACAACGTCGACTCCCGGAGGTCTGGACCCCTCCCATCCTGGGTCGTCTTTTGACGGCTCCGAGGCCCGGCGAGGGCCCCCGGAGGCCGAAAAGCGCGACAAAGTCTCCCGTCGTGACTTTTTTGCAGCGCGAGGGGGTCTGGGCACTCGGACCCCGCTCGGAAGGCCTCCAGTTTTTCGGCCTCTGCACCGCTCCGGAGACGGGCCCATGGACACCCAGACATCGGGCGCCTCGAAAAAATATCGAGACGGAGGTTTCTCGTCGTTTTCGACCTCTCAGGGCCCTCGCCAGGCCTCGGGGCCGTCAACAGAACGACTCGGGATGAAAAACCGGTCCCGGGGAAGTGGTGGGGAGGTCGGGGGCCCACGTCTCGAAAAAATCGAGACGTCGGATCTTTGGGCACCGCGGGCCCCTGGAAGCTCGCGCGCGAGCCCCCTCCCCCGCGAGAGCATCGCTCGGGCCCGGCCCGCCGGGCTCGCCCCCAGCGGCTCCAAAGCAGGAGGGTGACCTGGGGTCGGTTGTTTCGAAGATTGTGAGAGATTTGACAATTCGTTTTGAGAATCACTATGTTTCTAACATGTAGTGGGTTATGCCGCGTCTGCCTGTCAAATCCTCAGGTCCGTAGCTGCAGTACTACTCTCAAACGACGTGGAGGAACCGACTTTGTATAAAATCGAGAAAAAATATGATTCGAGTTTTCAAGCTGATGTTCGAGAAAGTGTTCTCCTCGCATTCTCAGCACTAATTCGCGTATCGAGAGCTCTACGAGGGTCCCGGCGGTATATTGGTTGACGGTTTACCGCAGGCTCCCAGTACCTCGCAGAGCTCTTCGGCACCACGCACACGCACACGCGCACGCACGCATGCACTCGCACACACACACACACACACACACACACACGCACACACACACACACGCGCACGCGCACGTGCACACGCACGCGCACACGCACACGCGCACGCGCACGCGCACACGCACACGCACACGCACACGCACACGCACACGCACACACGCACACGCACACGCACACACGCACACACACACACACACACACG